GCAGGTATGAGCAGGACGTTCAAGGAGCTGGCAGAACCCAGAAAGGGAGTTGGGGGCCCAGGTCCTGCAAGCCTTCTCAGATTTTGGGAGGGACTTTGGTCTTGGTTTTTAGAACTCTGGGAACCCATCGCAGGATTCACTATTGGAGCTGACATGACTAGGGGGAGAACTGATTGGAAGAACAAAAATGGGTATGGGGAACCAGAGCAGAGGCATTTGTGCAGTTACCCAGGCACATGAGGGCATTTGACTTAGGAGTTGCTGATGGTGATGGGGAAGAGTGAATAGAACTGAGATGCTTAGGAGGCAAAACAGACACACTTGGGAAGGACACTGTGCTACCAGGGGCAATACTTTGGTGTGTGACTTTGACTTATGTGGCAAGACAGATGGTGGCGCTCTTTGCCAAACTGGGGATGCAGGAAGAGGTCCTTGGTTGGCCCATTTTTGAGAGGGTAGGAGAGGAGAGAGAATTTGGTTTAGAGAGTGGTAAGTTTACCTGAGAATGGGAGTTGCGGCAAAGCTGCAGTCTTGGGGACTCATGTCCACCCCTCAGCCCTCACTGTGGGTCCTCTTATTGGGCCATCTCAGATATCCCACCTATAAGCCAACATCTGTTGCTCTGCCCAGTCAGATCAGTACAACATGTCTTGAGGGCCGCCTTGTCCAGGCTTATCTCAGGCACTTACTGTGCATTATGCCAAGGAACCACTCATGCATGGTTCTGGAATCATTCCAAATACAAGGTGATCAGGCACATAGAGTAAGTGTAATTGGCTTTCAGAGAAGGGAGAGATTAGCGAGGCCTGAGGACTTCAGTGTTTGTGCTTTAAGCAGCCAACAGGCCATTCTTGTCGCAAATACTTACCTTGGCAGGTGGACTTCAATAACTGTAATCAGTTTCTACATCCAGGGAGATGTGACCAAGGAGTAAAAAATTTTATGGATAGTTATATACAGTTCTGGTAACTTTAGAGGTCAAAGAAAGGTAATAGATGCACTGAAATAAATGTAATGGTAAGGTTGCCTCAAGTCCTTCATCATGGTGTGTTTTTGTGTGCACATGGATGTTAAATTTTCCCCAAGGAGAAAATGGGAATGGTTTGACTTGTGGTACTGAGGTAAAACTTGTGTAACTGAAGGTAGATCCTAACTTAAAAAAAAAGTTTCAACCTTCTTTTGCTGAAAAAAGAATTGGTACTTAGGTTAAGTTCTCTTAACACTCTGTGCAGATGAGTATCCGGGGAGGCAAGAGCATGGCATCCGCGGGAGGAGAAGGGCACTTCCCTGTGTTCCCCTAGTCACAGACACCTTTGAGAGCGGTGCCTCAAGACCCAGACTTCTCGTTGCTTCTGTGTCCCTTAGCTGCCTGGTCTCCTCACCCAGAAGAGACTTAATTCTGTAAGGCAAATACTTGTCCTCCCCAGAAGCTGCCAGTTACGACTGTCTGTCTGTCCTGGCCGGCATTCTGCCTTTCTAGCAACAGATATGTCTGCACAGTAAATATCATTGACCTTTGGCACCTTGGTGTATCTTGCACTGAATACGAAACAGTGGGGTTATATGAGCAGGGTGTCATGAAGCTTGGCATGCCCTCAGCGCCGGTACCAGCCTCTCTGCTTTCTCCACTCCTCTTCCTGGTTGTGTGCATGTTAGATTCCTGTTGCATCACAGTGAAAGCTCCAGAAAGAGGTCCCCCCGTAGCTGCATGGCAGAGTTGATCGTCTATGTAAGATTCTATCGGTCGTTTTGGGTTGAAGTAGACAAGAATCAGTGTGTTTTAGGTGATCTTTTTGGTGTCTTCTCCATTGTCCCAAGTAACAGAGAGGGTTTTATCTTAACAGGGTGAGGCATCATGGTGTATCCACATGCTACAAGGATCTTGGCTCCCAAGAGCTGATAGAGTCCTAGATCCCCACGTTTGAACTGTGTGCCTTTATGTCACTCCTCTAACTTAGCTGAGTTCTCAACACAGGTAGTCCTGCTTACTGTCATTGCAGGATTCACACGTTAGGGAAGAATAACCCAGCCTTGCCTAGAACTGAAGCTTACAGTGTACAGAGTGCTTGTGTAGTGGATCTCCCTGGGTCTCCTGACAATCTAATGGGTTAGGTGGGGCTGACAACTTATGTCAGGCGAGGTGACTAAGAAGTTAGGCCTAACCTAGGTTAGTTACACTTCTAGGAAATGGTGGAGCTGAAATTTGAACACAGGAGCCAGGTGAGGTTGGGGTGAGGGCAAGGGGCTGGGGAAGGGGCTGATCAGCCTATAACCAGGACCCCATGCAAGGCAAGTATAAAGGGGGAGGTTCTTCAAAGCAAGCTTGAGGGACACCTGGGTGGCTCAGTCAGTTAAGCATCTGCCTTTGGCTCAGGTCATGATCCCGGCGTCCTGGGATCGAGTCCCACATCGGGCTCCTTGCTCAGCGGGGAGCCTGCTTCTCCCTCTGCCTACCTCTCCCCCTGCTTGTGCTCTCTCTCTGATAAATAAATAAATAAAATCTTTAAAAAAAATAAAGCAAGCTTTAGCCGCTGATCTAAAGACTGGGGAGTGGATGCTGAACAAGCAAAATACCCAGTGTCCCCCTACACCTTTACCAAGATTTCTCCCTCAGACATGAGCCATTCAAGCCCATGGTGAATTTCTTTTCAGATTCCAATAATTGGGATTTTTAGTCTATCTAGCTGTGCTCACTGGCCTACAACCCAGCATGGACTTCAGACCAGTACTCACTACCTAATTCTATTGTCAAGGAGAGAGGCCTCCTTATCAGCTTTGTGGGGCCCACATGGCTTCTCAGGTTTGTGTTGTGGTGGGGTGTGCTATGTGTCACTCGACAATGAAATAAGGTTACTTTCTGGTCATAAGCTAATAGACCTGCTCCAGGTTAAATGGGTCCTCCTATGAAAAGGCCCCACAAAGGCCCCGTTGTGCATTATTAGCCATTCCTGGATCCTCATTGAGAGCTGCTCCTGGCAGCACCGCTTCTCGGGTGCGTGTTGGGAGGTTTCCCAAAGCCTGCCTTATGTTTCACCTTTTTTCCACTGTGTGGAGATGCTTGTCCAGCTTGAGTCTTTCTTGCCTAGGGGGGAGGCATAGAGGATTGTTAGGTGGATAGAGGAGCAACTCTAGTCTTACTCTTGGCTCAAGCCTTTCTTTGTGAGTTCTGATCAGAAGACATTGTGACTCCAATGAGACCGAGCACAGCCATGCCCACATTGTATACCTGATACTCTTTGGCCTTCTTGGGGGCTTTGTCTTCCACTCTGAAAGGTGATTCTTCCTTTACCTTATCCTGCCTGTGGCCTGCTGTCTTTCCTCCCCACAGTGTTCTGACTTTGAGATGAATCAGTTTCTTTCTTGACTTGCCAGGGAGTGATTTGTATTCTTAGGGAGATCCTCTGCGTGGGTCGGCCAGTTTTAGGAGACGGCTGATTCCTCTGCCAGCATCTTTGGACTTTTTGCCAAGGACCATTGCATTAAAGTGACTGAACCAGGGAGAGACCAGAGACTATTCGCTGGTGGCTCCTGGGTTCTTCTTCTCCACTTCAAGTGTCTTCCTCTTTTGGTGTAGAGCAGAGGGCCTTGCATAAGCCATGCTATCTTAGGATTCACGTCATCCGAGCCTGTAGGAGGGTGGTCTCCGAACAGGAGCCCCTGCTGTCTGTGTGGTAACCCTGAGCCCCAGACCTGAGAGCAGAAGGACTGCTTAGCTGGGCTCTTGCATGGCAGCTGCTGCTTGGGATAAGCTCTGGGATTGGCGAGCTGCACGCCGGTGGTTGAACTTGTACACCCCCCTCCACACATACATTATTCAGCATGCACTGAGCAGGATGCGCTGCCAGGTACACAGAGAGGAAACAAATAAAACCAAAAGGTGGAAAAAAAACATGACCCCTCACTTTAAGGAACAGATCTGGGAACTAAAAAAGAGAAGAGCGGAAGACCATGGATGCTTTTGTTCCATTAGATTATGTTGATCTGTGAAGCCAGAATCCTCCCAACCTCCTCCCCCTATCTCATTAAAGCCAGTGCAGGTTGCCAGTTATGCCTCCTATTTCCCTCCTCTGGGAATTGGACATAATACCATTTCCCCTTCAATAAGGGAAACATCTATGAGGGTAATTTGAATGATTAGCCTAATCTGCAGGAAGGCTGCACGTGGAATTAAGTTAAGCACATTTGTACTGAGCAGCTGTGTCTGTCAGGCCACTTAAAGGTACCTGGGTGGTTTTATACCCTTAACAGAAGCTGAGGGTTCAGGAGGGATCATTGGCTTTTAATATGGCCTTAGATGAAAGCTTATTTTTTAAATTTGACAAGGGTTTCCGAGAGCTTTCTTTATAGATAACATATGTGGGGTGTGTTTTTACCCCAACTCAGAACATTGCCAGGGCTTTGTTCTTGTGGCAGCGGGGAACGCAATGACCCAGGGAAATGGTTCAGACGGAAATTTGTCAGGCTGGCCGGTCACTCTCCTCATGAGGGAAACAGAGGGTTGTGAGAACTCGGCCTCACGTGTGCTTGAATCAGAATAAAGAGTCCAGGAGCTCCTGTGCCGTGGAATGGGGCACTTCCATGCCCTTTCTTCCCGCTCCCTACCTAATGCTGGACCACATGGGAGGTCCCCGGCAGGGCTGATTACGTGGGAGGTCGGTGGCAGGGCTGACCCACAGGGTTGTGGGTACTGAGATCTGCTCTGACCCATGCTTCCTCCTGGATTCCCACCTGTGACAAACGTACATGATTGGACTCACTGTGTGGCTTGAGGAATTAGAACTGGGACCGGAATGGTTAAAGCAAAGTAACAGAAATAGTAACTTTTCAAGCCAGTCAGAATTTCAGGTTAGAAGCAGATGTTCAGTATTTTGAATTTACATTGTGTTTGAAATAGCCTCAGGAACAAATCTAGCTGCTGCATTAGTAGGACTAAAACGTTCAGCAAATATGAAAATCAATTTACGTCAGTAATTCATATTTTTTACTCTTTTTCTTGCTAGATTTGTCTTTGGCGAAGAGGAAATTTGCCGATTCCTTAAATGAATTCAAATTTCAGTGCATAGGAGATGCAGAAACAGATGATGAAATGTGTATAGGTAAGTCTTAACCGTGTGTCTGCTGAGTCACTGTTTATCATAACTGTCACCATCCTTGCTGAGCCTGTTTCCTGTGAGAGGAAGTACTAAGTGTCATAAATTAAGTCCACACCAACAGTGGAGGGGGCAGAGTGAAGTGAGGGGCTATTCTAGGCTTTTCCTCAGAGTTCTGAAACTGCCTCTCTCTCCCTTGGGCCTGTAGGAGGCAGCTTGAAGGTTTGCAGTGAGTTCTCTCCAGCCTCCTGTAATGTTTTGCTTCTGGCTGTTTCTGTGACTTTTCTTTGCCCAAGTACTACAAAACTGAGAGCAAGAACAGAAGACAGGTAGATGAGGGAAGATTTACAGGTTGCAAATAATGGTTTGTGGGCTGAAATCAGAATACAACCATGTTTTCTTTGGCACTCATTTTTTAAAATCGAATTAACATGTAAATTGAATTTGTGTAAAGTTCTGGTTTTCCATCTCTTTGAAAATTGGAGGATCTGATCAGCTGGCCCCACATTCAGGCCTGGCAGTTGTCAGCTGGAGCTACGTTGCTGTGGCTGCCTTCAGATGGACAGAAGAGCTTGGTGTCCAGCTCCGCTCTGCCTTTCCTTAACCAGAGGCTGAGGGTGGGGTTACTGTTGATTGCTGTGCTGCTTTTCTTTTCACTATTACCTTCTGTCTCTTGCAGGCAATGCTGAGCACAGAGGATTTGCAGGGTCAAGACACCTGTGTCTGGCAGGGTCTAGTCATTGCCCTCGACTCTTCATACATTGGGCATCTTGGTTAGCTCCAGGGGTGAGCAAGGATTGAAAAAGTTGTCATATGCTTATTGAATCCCTGTTGTTACACAGAGTGCCAGGATCTGGGGGTGAGGGAAGGCAGCTGGGAGATAGCTGAGAGCAATGAAAATGCATCCCTGTAGTCACTCCTGGAGCTCCCCAACATTACATGTATATTCTGAATATCCTCAGGGCTACTGGACTTACTGCCTTTTGCCTTTGGGAATAATTCTAGTGGGGACTCTCCGTGTCTGACCACCATGCTGCAGGCTGCATTATATTAATAGGTGGCTTGATGTGGCTTCTGTTGCGAGCTATATTGGTGTAGTTGTGATACCAGAGGAATGGTTGATTTCTGACACAGTCCCACAGCCACGGTTGAAGAGGTTAAATCCTGGGCAGGAAATCCTTCAACTCCCAAGCAGAACTCTGCCCTTTTCAGCCTATGGTCTGGAAGCTGGCCAGCACCTCATCAGTCCTGGGTAGTCTCAGGAACAGACAGGTCCTTGAAGGAAATCCTTTCCCAACTAGAGTGCCAGGTGAAATTAACCTTCATTCGGGGGTCGTCCTGGATGGTTAATGATTAAAAGATAAGGAGAGCCTTGGGAAGCAATTGACTTTAGGATTTTGCATGTGCCAAGGGATTTCAATCCATAACATAATAGCTATACCTGGAAGGCTCCCAAAGGCCCATTTCTCTGTCCCTTTCATGGTACTTTCTCTTTTCCAGCAAGGTCTTTGCAGGAGTTTGCCACTGTCCTCAGGAATCTTGAAGATGAGCGGATACGGATGGTGAGTATGGCTGGGCTGCTCTTGCTCCCATACAGTGTTGTCATGTCAAGAGATTTGTTGTCAGAAGAACTGGGTTTGAGTCCAGCCTCTACCACTTGAGTGTTTTGAGCTCTTGAACACGCCTCATCTTCTCATCTTTGCAGGGTTGGAAACATTTCGCAAATGTTAAGGGATTACTGTCGATAACGTTAGAACCACGTTGTTGGCCTCCCAAAGATTCACTGTAAGGTGCACCTGTAAGGTATGACTTATGGGTGGATCTTTTGAATTAGTTAACTTTGGGAGCCTCCAATTCCCTACAGGCAGAGTGGGAATGAACGTGTCATACTGTGCTCCCTGCTTTCCTCATTTTAGTAAGTTTACCCAAGAGCTTTTGAAGGGCACTTCTTCACTCTTTATTTGGAAATGGCTAACCCAGTGCCTGCCCTCTAGCATGCACCCAATAAGTGGGCATGTAGTAAATGATGATAATTACAAGAGGTTCTTCAAAGGGAGGCACTGTGCAAAGTCAAGAATCAAATGCTGATCCTCAGGTTCTTAAAAGATACCTTCTGTATTCTAATTCTGATGTGGCTAAGCATCAACAGATGAGGGATTCCGCATCCACAAGTTCTTTGCATCCTCTCCTTATCCCTGAGATACCAAGAATGGAGCCTGATTTGAAATCCCCCTGCTGGCTGCATGCTGATTTGTCCCCAGGAAGGCTTGTCCCTAAGCTAATGGTGCTACAGGGGCCTAGGAAGAGTCTATCAGTGATTTTTCCCCTCTTCCCATGCTAAAACTGATCATTTGAGACTAAGTCTACTGTCTTAATATGCTTAGACTGCCATACCAAAATACCATGGGCTAGATGGCTTACACAACAAATATTGATTTCTCACAGTTGTGGAGACTGGGTAGTCCAAGATCAAGGAACCAACTGATTTGGTTCCTGGTGAGGACCCTTTTCCTGGCTTGCACATGGTCACCTTCTTGCTGTGTCCTTAAATGGGAGAGAAAGGGGCAGAATGGTTCTTCAGTCTTGGCTTAGAAGGGCATTAATCCCATTGTGAGGATTCAACCCTCATGACCTAATTATCTTCCCAAGGCTTCATCTCCAGATAGTGTCACGCTGGGGGTATTAAATGATAAAATGAGACGTATCTTTAAAACTTTATTTGAACAAAAATTGGTTCAGATTGGACAGTACCAAACTGGAAATCTTTAGGAAAGCTCTACTAACAGAACTGTAGGGCAAAGACTTTTATAGAGAACATATGGAAGTAGCAAGGAAATTACTTGATTGGCTGTATCTCAGGCTGTTGCCTTATTTGGGAAAGCCTAGTTGTTTCCATTTCTTAACCTTGAGAGATTTACAGCCTTGGGTTTTGGTCGGCTTATGTAGGCTGCTAGAGCATTAGAGCCATCTACGTCTAATGGCCTCTTTGTTTAATTAATAGAGGTTAGGGCTTCCCCATATAAATTTTGAGGAGATGCTGCTTAGTCCATAGCCTCGACCAAGATATTACGTATGCACACATTTTAAATTTTAACCCCCATGGTGACTCGGCAAGGTGGTACCTATATCATCCCAGTGTCTGGATAAAGATATTGAGGTTTAGAATGGTTAATTAACATGCTCAAGATCACATAGTTAAAAAGTATCACAGTCTGGATTCAAACCCAAATTTGTATTAAACTGAAGAATGGGGGAATTTCTTTGAAATTCTCAACAGAGCAGAAGCTCTCACCTTCTGCCCTGCACAGAGAGACAGAAATAGTGTCTGTTTTCCTTGATTGCTCATTTTTGGGTGCTTGAAGCAGAATCAGGAGGCTGGTAGCTGCAGCAGGGTTGGTGGTGGGTGGAAGCAGGGGGAAGCTTGTGTGTTTGTGCACGTGCTACTGCCCGAGAAAGGGAAGTGATACTTTTGAGTCTGATTCTTGGCCGAGTCAGTATTTGTGGGTGGGGGGTGTGGTAAGCAAATCACGCTGAATACCCTGCAGATTGCTATGGCCCGTGGTAAGAGAACAATGACTGGATTATACTCTTCAGCTTGCCTCTGCAATTTTATTATTAATGTCAGTGAACTGAGTTTCTGCTGTGTGCGTCTGAGTATCTAGCCATCGCAAGCCTCTTCCCTGCCTCCTCATCCTCATCAATTCAGCTCAGCTTTGCAAAACCACACCTTTTTGGGAAGGCTTCTCTGACTCCCTGGGATATTTGGCTGTGCTTTGTAGTTTCTTAGTATTCCGTTCATGTCTCTGATTCTCCATTTACCACATTGTGTCTGATAATCATTTCATGTGTCCGTCCCATCAGTATAGTGCTTGGAACTGAGTGTAAATTACACAGTCCTAGAATCTTAGACCCAGAACAACCTTATTATGTTATCTCACTGTCTGTAGTCTTTCATTGGCCACATGGGAAAACTGAGGTCTTGTGAAGGCAAATAGCAAGCAGTAGAAGGACTGGGACAGGGTCTTGGGCATCCTGGTTCCCCGGTGAGTAGTTACTGCTTTTGTGTATTTAGCATCTCCTTAAGGCTAGATTCTCAATCATGGATGCCCACTGGAACAACTTGGGGAGTTTAAAATATACTGATGCCTGGGATGAAGTACAGAGATTCTGATTTTATTGGTTTGAAGTGCAGCCTGGACGTTGGAATTTTGAGAAGCTTCCCAGGTGAGCTTGACATACAGCTTAGGCTGAGAATCAGTGGCTTAGGGGCTCAGCACACCACTGTGAGCTTCGGAGATTTATCCTCGATTTGTGGAAGACTTAAACAAGTGAGCCCATTAAGCAACATCAATCAATAAAAATCAATCAAGTTAAACATTGCAAAACATGTTAAAATGCTCTCTTCCTAGATAAGTGCTCTCAAAATTAAGAAAAAAGCAAATGGCAATGAATTTGGAGACCTGCCACCTTTTATTCCTCCCATTGCTCAGTTAGTTCTTGGCTGTGTCCATCTTTGGCTTCTGGCATTTACTCTGTTGGTTTCATTGTGGTGTATATGCATGTGATTTAGAAAAATAATGCTTTGTTGTATCAAGATTCCTGAAATAATTAGTTGAGCGACAAGTGAGCAGTGAATGACTTAAAAGGAAAGATTGTAAAATATTTTACTGCCTTAGAATAGACCATAGAATCTTAGAGCTGGAACAATCCAGCCTACTCATTTGGCAGATGAGGAAATTAGAGCCCAGAGAGGTTAAATACTTTGCCTATGGTCACACAGTTGGCAGCTAGTCAAGAAATCATTCATTCATTCATTTAGTCATTGAAAAATATTCGAGTGCTCCTTTGTTTCAGCACTCCTCTGTGTTTGGGGGAAAATGGTAGGCAAGTGAACATTTATAAGATGGTGCTATGTGTGTGTGTGTATAGTAGCGAATTAGAAAACTTTAGCTGGCTTACTCTTCTGAAGAAAACACTTTGGTGGGGTGGTGAGAAATTTCTTTGGACTATGCTTGTCATCATGGAAGGCTTTCTTAAAGAGGTGACCTTTAAGCCAAGACCTCAATTAGAATAAGAAATGAGTCATCCATGAGAGCATTTGGGGAGGGAATGTCCAGATGCAAAAGCCTGGAAATGGGACAAGTTTTGTGCATTTGAGGTGCATGGCGGTGATGATATGGTTGGCATATAGGACCTGTTGGAGTGAGTGGTGGGATGAAGTTGAGAGGCAGCCAGCGGTCTGGAGGCACAGATGTCCTGATTCTAGTCCAGTTCTGGTAGGAATACACGAAGTCAGGCTTGGCAGGTTTTCATGCCACCTCATGTCCAAAGGTGTTTCTTGTTCTTAACCTAGACTCAGTGTTGATCTACCTAAAATATTTCTACTTAAATATAGCTTGGGTGAATGGGCATTCACAAGATGTACCTGAACCTGAAATTTAGATCCTATCCTGGTCACCAGTTCCCCTCTGCCTTTACTTGGTCGCTTACATTTTTAGAAGTACTCGTTTTTATTATTTTTAAGATTTTAATTTATTCATTAGCGCAAGCTAGCAAGAGCAAAGCAGGGGGGAGGGTTAGAGGAAGAGGGAGAAGCAAATTGCCTGCTGAGCAGGGAGCCCGGTGCAGGGCTCGATCCCAGGTCCCCGGGATCATGACCTGAGCTTAAATCAAGAGTCAGTTGCTTAACTGACTGAGCCACACAGGCGCCCTGCTTACTCAAATTTTAAAGTGAGACACAGGGAGGCATTTTGTGCCAGAACTGCTAGAATTCTTAACTGATATTTGCTTTTATGTATACGTGTCTACCCCACTCCCCTGCCTTGTTTTTCCTCACCAGATTGAGAATGCCAGCGAGGTGCTCATCACTCCCTTGGAGAAGTTTCGAAAGGAGCAGATTGGGGCTGCCAAGGTGAGAATTACTCAAACCTTGTTCTTGGATTCCAGGGCATTCTTGTTTTTTGATTTTATGTAGTGGCTCATCTGTTACTCACAAGTGTCTGAAGTAAGATTGAGTGGTCAACCCCAGAGCAGACATTCTAGTATTTTGTTACCTAATCGTTTTGTGCTAGTTCATAAATCATGCAAAGGTAGAAACCATGCCTCCTTGTGTTAGTAGATACATCTGTGCTTGGACAAGGTAGAATTGTACTTACTGAAGAGGTCCAGGGCTCAGAGCATAGACCAGGGGGTTGCAAACTGGGCCCTGAGTGCCTGGCAACCCTGTTCTGAGCTCATTTTTGCTGAGTGAAAATGCACCCTTTGTTGCCGGATCTTGAAATTTTTCAAGAGAAACAGAAGTCAGAGTTTTCTTTGAAATTTCCTGGTTTAAAAAGATGTTAGCAAATAATTTAAAAATATACATTCTACATGGTGCGTGTCAAAAAGCAGGACTGCTTCAACTTCTAGGTCCCGGTTTGTTACCACTGACTGGGAGGGACTGCGGCTGAAATGTGGCTGACTCGCTGCTGAAATTTCCTTGAAAAGAGTGCAAAGGGGATCTTATTCATTTTTGAAAGACTGACTCTCCATGGTTCCCCTGCCTTGTGATAAGTCACTAAGAAACCCTCCCTGGTTGGCTGTTAGTAGGGTGTTAGAGGCCCCTGCAGAGAAGGTGTTTGCACTGGGATCAATGAAAGCAGAGGGATTTTCGAGATTTTTCTTCCTATTTTCCTGGAACTGTGAGTCCTTCAGCTGCAGTCCTTTGTGCCACCTGCAAGGAGCTTTGGGCAACATCACTCTGACATGTTTAGATTTTACTCAGCTGTGAAATGGTCTTGAGAGGTAGGTGCCTGTAGGTGGGAAAAAGGTAACTGCAATGTAATGAAGTGGGATCTGTCTCCCAGCCCCATGTCCCCACCGAAGCACATGGGCTTCTGAAAATGAATATGGTTAGGGTCTGAAAAAGATGATGTGCTGTTCAGTGAGGGTTCTTCAGAGGGATGGTTGACTGTAGTTTGAAGGACGGACCATAGCAAAGATTTTTCTTCCAGTTCTTTAGCACTTTCTGCCAATTTTACGTTTTATATTTATGAAGAAATTAGACCTCATGGGTTTTGTATCAGAGATTAAGGAATGTAAAATTAAAAGGGAGTCTTGTTCCACTAAGAGTTTGTCCAAGACTTTGAATTTGCCATGAGTGTCCGTCCCCAGGTTCTCCAATTTGTAGGCCCAGGGAGCGGACCTTCACTTTAGTGGCCTTGGGACCTGTGCTTTCTCCTCGTGGTAACATACGACAGTGGCTCTGGGCATTCTGAGGAGCTTAGAGGCAGCAGCAGAGCAGATAGACCTCCTTATCAAATCCTCTTTCCAAGAGTCTTTTCTGCTTCTGACCTCGGATGCTTCGCACTCTGGCCTCTTCCCTCAGCCCTGGTTTTGGGCATTCTCATAGTTGCCACGGGGGAGGAACAGGTGTCTGAGTGGGCTCGTTTGGGGTAATACCAGTGATCGTGATGACAGGAGCAGGTACTCTTCTGGGGGTGAGGTGGGGGTGGGGCTGTAGAAGGCAAGAAGTAGGAGTATGAAAGAATTTGAATAAAATCATCACTTATCAAAACATGTTGCCTCTCATACATACTCTGATCTCTCATTCCTCTTGAACAGTGTGATGATGTTCTGGATGATTTCTCCTCGTTCTTCCTGTGTCATTTCCTTTTTTCACTGTACTGGTTCCCCCCCCTCCCCCCACATGCACACATTTATATCCTAGTATTGTCTACATTTAAGAGAAAGCAAAGAAACAAACTCTTCACCAGGCAGTCTAGGCAGCAGACTAAAGAATAGCTAAGAGCCAGAGAGGGCTCTTGAGCAGCCAAGTGGAAGTTTCTGAACTCACACTGTGTGGTGCTAAAATTACCCTTCCTCCCACTGTGGTGCGGCTTTGGTTGCTCTAACAACCTGTTGCTACTTGTAAGAAGCAGAAGTTAGTGTTGGGGGTGGAGGCTGCCAGGGAGGAGGACTCCTGGGCATTCTGATGCTAGTGTACCTGTCCTGTGGTAGGGCGCGACCTTGGAGCTTGGCATAACTGTGGCCCTAGGTTCAGAATTCTGACTTTAGGGGAACTCGTTTTTCCTCCAGCCGAGGTGCATTTGGAGAGCCAGGCTCTACGGTGAAAGTAAAGGAGAAGTTAGTGGTGAAGACGGGGCCCCAACCTCACTTGTGCCATTGGCATGCCAAGTTGGGGAGTAGCCAAACCTCTCCATACCTGTTTTCCGATCTGTAGGCTAGGGCCAGTGATAATATTGACCTCCTAGAGTTCTATGAGAAAGACATGAGTAAATGCATATAAAGTGCTTAGAACAGTATTTGTCATATAGTCTTTTTATGTTAGCTGTTAGATTCAGTACATACAGTTCATCCATTTAAAAAAAATCTGTGAGTGCCTGCTCTGCATCTGGCACCATGCTACACACTGGTTTATGGTGGCGAGCAAGTGAAGATGTACTGTGCTCGTGGTGTGGCTAGGGAGAACGACGTGAAACAAAAAGATGTAAATAAACATCATTTCAAATTGTGGTAAGTGCTATGAAGGCTTACCTTTATGGTACACTGGGCATGGGAAGGAAGTAGTGTTCTCAGTAAGGAGGAGAGGTACGTTCAGATGATGGGCCTCTTGACCACTATCACCACGATGGCTGCCATCATCACTACTGCCATCATCATCATCATTACCGAATTTTATTGTGCATTTTCTGTGTGCTGGGCCCTCTGCTAAGCACAGTCTGTGGTTTAGCTCATTTTATCCTAATAGGCCTACGAGGAGGTGGTTGTTTTTATTCTTTGTTAGACACTCTCTGAGCTGAAAGAGGAAGGAACCTATGTAGTCACCTCATGGAGTCCTCCTCAGTTTAATAGATGAGGGAACCCAGTTCTGAAGAGGGGCAGTGATTTGTTTAGAATCAGTCCATGGAGAATTGGGAATCATTTCCAGAATCCTAATTCTGTCCTTTGTCCGTTTAGGCGCCCCCAGTGGATTCCCTGGAAGGCGAGCACCATGTTGTACCTGAGTAGAGAATTTAAACTCATTAGCACCACCCTCCCGACTTAAGAACATTATCTAAATCTTTAGTAGAGTTATCCCCTGAGGTCTTGTTTCTCAGGACAGAAACTGCTTCCCTTTCTCTTTAGCTCTGGCTATCCTCTTGAACATGGAATGTGGCAGCTCGAGTTGCCAGAAAGTCACAGAACGCCGGTGACTCATGTTTGCTGGCCTTTTCTCACCTCTGGCCAGCTGGGCCATTCCAGCACAGGGTTCTCCTTGGGGCTTGCTGACAGGCTGCTGGAGTGGTTCTGTGAGCATGAAGCGGAGTTGGGGCCCTAGCTCAAAGTTACTGGTTTTTATAAAGGAAAGAGTTGCTTGAGTCAAGTGTCTAGCCTGTACCCTTCCTCAAATTTGAAGGAGTAATGTCTCCTCAGCCTTTTTCCTCACTTGCTTCTGCATGTTGAGTTGTCCCTGTATATAAGTGGTCTTTTCAAGCAAAATTCAGATTTGTAGAAATGGATACATGTCAGCCAAAAAGGGTATGTGATGATTCTGTCCACTTTGAGAGGCTTAGAATTTTGCTGTTGACCAGATAAATGGAGTTATGATGTGGCAGGAGATTGTCAGAGCTTCAAGTGAGAGCTTCTCGGTGATTCCTGTCCCCTGCGCCACTTAGGCTTCCCAGTGTTAAGCCCAGAGCATTTGTATTTACTGCTTTTGTGCTCTAGAAGGGTCCACCCTGTCCCTCACATGATTAGCAGGTCTTATTTAGCTCACACTTTCTACCCAGTGAGGCCTCTCTTGAGTACCCTCTCTGTGGAATCTCTGACTGCACCTTATTTCCTTCATAGCACTTGTGGCTGTCTATAATTATTTGTTTCCTGGTTACTTGTGTTTGTCCTACTAGAACATCACCACCATGAGGCTCGGGACCACTTCTGCCTTGTCCAGTGGCCAAAGAGCCTGATACAGAGTGGTTACTTGTTACATCTGTGTGAAATGAATGGAGATGTCTCTTAGCTTCCTTATCTGGCTGCAAATATTTTTTCTCCTCTTTGAGGCCTCGGAAGTGCAGAAAAATAGTTCCTGTGGGTTCCACCTGAGTCAGGAGTAAGACTGATGGGCTCACTTAGTGAAATTGGTCGTGTTCATTAGGCCACTGTCCACTGTCTTCCAGCCCCATTGCTTGCCATCCCCACTAGAAAGTGGATGGAAAGAGAGACTGCCCATGAACATATGTCTCAGGTATGATTGAGAGGTGGGCTTTGGAGGCAGCCTCCCTAGCCTCAAATCCCAGCTCTGTCACTCTCTATGACTTTTTACAAGTTAACCTCCCTAGATCTAAGTTTTCTTATCTGTAAAATGGGAGATAAAAGTAGAATCTCAATGACTCAGTGACTTGGTGGGAAAGCAGGGATTATTAAGTGTATTATAATATTTGTGTTATTTTTCATTTTGAAAGCTATTAATGTGGGATAATAAAAATTTCCCAAACATGGGAAGGAAATCACCCCTTATCCTGTTTCCTTAACTCGATTATTCTAATTTATTTTTCCATTTAATCTTTGTCTATAGGTAGCTACACTCTGTGTAGCATGCACCAAGTTTGTATCATATTAATACTTCACATTACATTATGAGCAACTTGCCATATGACTACCTAGCCTTCCTAGTTAAATTAGATGTCCCACCCGTTAATTATCTCAAACCCTATCTTTGGGCACTGATGTTGCTTTGGCTTTTTTGTTTGTTTGTTAGTAAAAATGATGCTTCTGTGAATACGTTTGTCTTGTTTTCTTTTGAATCTTTATTCATTTTTAAAATTTTTTAAATTTTTATTATTATTATTTTTAAAGATTTTATTTGACACAGCGAGAGAGGGAACACAAGCAGGGGGAGTGGGAGAGGGAGAAGCAGGCTTCCCGCGGAGCAGGGAGCCCAGTGCGGGGCTCGATCCCATGACCCTAGGATCATGACCTGAGCCGAAGGCAGACGCTTAACGACTGAGCCACCCATGTGCCTGAATCTTTACTCATTTTAAAGACCCACATGTATTACTGTTGTGCTCAGGAATATTAGGTCTGTATATTAAGTACTTTCTGACCACTGTTTAAGTTGGATCTGCCCTTATTCTAGACTTGTCCCACTTAAGCTTTAAGTAGGTCTTAGTGCTTTGGGATTAGCTTCATAGGTAACCTCGCTCCATTCTTTGCCTTGAACATCCTTGGAGTTAGAAACTAGAAATTTCTGTTTCACAACTGAGGTTCTCAGCACATGGAGTCCTGGCTTTGCCACTAGTAAATACTGGTATTTACCTTGTTTCTATCATTGTACTGGTTCCTTTATGATAGACACTCAAAACCATCGGCCTGTTGTTGGGGGCGGGGGTGGTTTGATTTAACGCACATTATTTGAAGAGTAGGAAGAGCTGGGTTGTCCGCTGTTCTGGGTCTGAGGGAATGGTGAAGCTATGAAATTGAGCAAGCAGAGGTCTTGAGAAGATTGCTTTTATTCCTGTAACATTTTACTCTTTTTCTCCTCTCCTCTTTTTGCCAGGAAGCCAAGAAAAAGTATGACAAGGAGACAGAAAAGTATTGTGGCATCTTAGAAAAACACCTAAATTTGTCTTCCAAGAAGAAAGAGTCTCAGCTTCAGGAGGTAAGATTACTTCACTAGTATCCTGAATAATGTGTTTAAGTTCTATGTGGTGCTGGGGATGCGTGCTTGTTCCTCTTTGCTAGAAAATCCTAGGGTTTGAAGAGACCTCACAAACCAGGAGCTTGACCCTGATCCCTCCTCAGATGCCTGATGCCTGTATTGCCCTTTGTATCTTCCTGCTCACAGTACCCCTTTTCTGGCTGTCCAACCTACCAATAGGTGGGTGCTGATCAAGATCACGCTCCTCCTTGTTGGGCAGCCCTAGTTACTAAAATGTGCTTCTTCCTTTCAAACTGAAGTCTGGTTTCCTGTTTCTGTAACCCTTTTGATTCTGTACTTACTGCCTTACTTCTTAACTTCCTGCCTTATATCCGTGATTTGAAACGTTAGCATCTGAAACACTTTGATCATCCTTCTTTATTGTTGTTGTTATTATTTAAAGATTTTATTTATTTGAGAGAGAGAGAAAGAGCAAGCAGGAGTGGGGGGAAGGGGCCGAGCGAGAGGAAGAAGCAGGCTCCTCTCCCCCACCTCGATCCTGACCTGGGACTAGATCCCAGGACCCTGGGATCATGACCTGAGCCTAAGGCAGACACTTAACTGACTGAGCCACCTAGGCACCCCTATTGTTATTTTTTAAAAAATTATTTCACCCCCCAAAAAATTACTTCAACCAGTACTTGACGTTAGTCTGTCTGTCTTGCTTTCTTTTTTTTTCTTTAAGGAGGATTTGTCATTCATATGTTTTATGCTTTGGTAACTTTGTTTCAAAAAAGGTAAATTATCTGACCTACTCTGATTCTTTCTGGATTGACATGAAGAGTAGTTCACTTGGAAAAATACCGCTTTGCAGCCATGGAGCTCTGATCATTTTCATTTAGTTCATGGAGATTTGCATGGTGAGGGTCTTGTTTCTGGGAGACAGAGCTGTTTCCTAGTGGAACTCCAAAGTTGACTGCATGAATGTTATTTTACTCTTAACAGTTTGCTTGACCTTTCTCAGGTATGTGCTAAAGAGCGGCTGTGACTTCCAAGCTAGCCCGCATTCTTTTTAAGTTTTTATTTTAATTCCAGTATAGTTAATATACAGTGTAATATTGGTTTCAGGTGTACAATCTAGTGATTCAGCAGTTCCATACATCACCCGGTGCTCATCAGGACAAGTTGCACTCCTTAATCCCCAGTACCTGTTTCACCCATCCCCTCCCCCCACATCCCCTCTGGTAACAGTGTGTTCTCTTTAATAAAGAGTCTGTTTCTTGGTTTCTCTCTCTCTCTCTTTTCCTTTGCTTGTTCTGTTTCTTAAATACCACATGAATGGAATCATATATTTGTTTTTTTCTGGCTAACTTATTTCACTTAGCGTTATATTCTCTGCCTCCATCCATGTTGCTGCAAATGGCAAGATTTTTTTTTTCTTTACTGTCTGGGTAAAACTCCATTGTCTTATATACTGCATCTTCTTTATCCCTTCATTAGTCAATGGACATTTGTCAAGGTAGCCCTCATTCTTGAATTTACTTTGTTTTTGAGAAAATACCATTTAGTACTTCTATCAGGTGAAAGTTACTCTGAAGATCCTATGGTTGAACGTTAACAATGAAGATACCTCGGGAGATAGTGGAGTCGAGTCCCTTAACAACCAGGATTTGTTACCCATCCTCACTTAGGAACCCTCTACTTTGATATGGGCGTTTAAACTAGTTGTGTAAGTGACGAAGAGCACCCAATATCAACTCCAGCAAAATTCATAATTCATTCAGGATCTGTGCTGATGCCCTCACTTTTTAGTTACCCTTCTTTGAGTGTCATTTGGCATTTAGGGTTTGGAAACTACATTTAAGGAAGGTCTTTTTGACTACAACTCAAAATGACCGGAGCTGGCCAGCTCTATAGTTTCTAAGCAGTTAACAGGAGTCGGGGTCTTTAAGAGTTGAGTGACTGTGTGATTGTTTTAGCACCTACTGGTGTTGAGAGGCCCATAGTACAGTTGGTCTGTAGGCGTGGCATTCCCCAGAGTGAGAATGCTTCTCCGATCTGTTCCCTCTGTTCCTGGATACTGCTGACATGGTCTGGGATGAGTCTAACATACTCTTTTAAGGCCATGCCAATATCTTCTCCTTAGCCCAGTACTGGTCAGGACCAGAGCACTGGGTGGCAAAGAGATATCTTACTTCAGGGGGTGCTATGCCATATTTTCATTGTGTGACCTGGGGCAAGTACTCATCTCTCTGAGCTTTTAGTCCCATTTTTTGTAAAATACAAAGTACCTATTCTGTCTACTTCATGTATGAGAAGGCAAATTATAGCTGCTAAACAAAAAGTATTAACCCCAAGACTGGCTTGTTTTTCCCCATTCCCTGTTCCCATAGTGTATGGTACTCTCTTCCTCACTGATTTAGTATGTTCAGGTTACTACAATAGAATACCATAGACTGGGTAGCTTATAGAGACAAATTTAACTCTCACAGTTCTGGAGGTTAGGAAGGCCAATATTAAGGCTCTGGCAGATTTAGTGTCTGGTGAGAGCTTGCCTCCTGGTTCATAGATGGCTGTCTTCTTGCCATGGCCTCACGTGGTGGAAGGGCTAAGGGAGCTCTCCGGGCTCTCTTCTATAAGGCCACTCATCCAATTCATGAGGACTCCACCCTCATGACTTGATCACCTCCCAAAGGCCCCGCCTCCAAGTGCTGTCACATTGGGGGTTAGGTTTCAGCCTATGAATGTTGTCAGGGACACAAACATTCAGTCCACAGCACTGACTTGGCCAGTTATATGTATTAGTGGACATTTCTTCATTACGTTCTTTTGTTATAGTTCGTTGTGTGCTTGTCTTTGACCCAGTCATACTTTCTAAGTACTTTGTAGGGCAAGGAGTGGGCTGCAAGTCCTTCTTCAGAAAGGTCTGGGTCTGTTCTCAAGCATTGCTTTTTAGTTGTATCTGAGCTGAATTAAATTGATAAAAATCTTATAACAACGAAAATGATATAATACTTTTACTAACAAAATAATAGCAGTAAATATTTACGGAATGCTTATTTTTGTACTGGGTACTGTGTTAGGCACTTTACTTGGAATCTTCTCAAATCCTTACCACCTCCTTGTGAGGTATGGATGTATTCCCTCTGTTTTACATATGAGGAGACTAAAGCTTGAAGATGTTAAATAACCTACCCATAGCTTGTCAATGAGGTTTGCACACTGGCTCCAGACTCTGGAGCTCTTTTCTCTTACCTCACTGTGCTCTTCTCCTTGTCTCTCTCTCTTGGGAGGGTGGGATGTTGCTGGGCTGCCTGTAAATCATTGTTATTCAATGCATGTATCATGAAAATAGAATTGGCTGGAAGGAGGGACCTTGATAATCTTCTGATTGAACCTCCTGGAAATATATTTGAAGGAACTGGGTTCCTTGCAGAGGTCGATTTGTTCAAGGTCTTCTAGCTATTTAGTGATGATTTTCTTCACATTTATTAAAAAAATCAACTTAGGGACATGACTAAACACCTAGTGCACTTTTAATGAAATCTGCTTTCTTCGATCATCCAGAATTCTTCCCTGATTGCAGGGCTCGAAACAGTGCTTTTGACATCTTAGCCCATCCCCACATCCTAGTGGGGAAAATCATAGTGCAGTCCTGTGGAATGACACTGCCATCTAGTGGATGATTCTTTTTTAAAATCACTGTATTTTTCAAGGGCTAAGAAGCTTCAAAGACAATATCCACTTAAATATTCACTGCACGCTTCTATGAGTCTATTCAGGTGTTGAGTGAATTGTGGAGAGCGAAATGAATGATTGGCTTTCCTGGAACTTACAGTCTAGAAACAATGTCTCTTTTCTAAGAAGCATAGAATGGTTGATGCGTCTCAGACAAGCTGGTAGATTCACTGCTTTTCTGGTAACAAGCAGAGAAACGGTTTTGAGTGGCCTGCCAGGTGGGCTGGACTCTTGGCTTGTGACTCCATTGCAGGATGGGTGTCTAAGGATGTGATGAATTCTGTGGCTAATGCAGGGGCATTAGCAGGAGAAACATACCATTTCACTTGGATTTCTTTTTCCCCTTCCTTTGGAGATGCATTGAGTTAGGCATTTCTTCTGAGAATTGGATCACTATCAGCCACGTAGAGATCAATTCATTCATTCCTTAAGCTTCTCTTGAATACTTACCATGGGCCAGGCACTGTTCTGGAAGCTGAGATAGGAAAGTGGAAAAACGAGACAAAGTCTTTGCTCTCATTGACATTATATTGCCATAGGCAAAACACAAGAAGAGAAAAGTGTAGGAAAGAATTTTACATAGTGCTAAGGAAATAAATTGGGAGGTAGGTTACTCCGGGGAGTCTTTATCTTATGTACCATAACGTGGTCACTGAAGTCTTCTCTAAAGAGGCTAACATTTGAATGGACATCGGAAGGATGAGAAGGGCCACCAAGAGAAAAGCTAGGACAGTGTTCTTTAAATTGTGGGTATGTTGGGTTGCCTGGCTAGCTCAGTTGGTAGAGTGTGTGACTCTTGATCTCAAGGTTGTGAGTTCGAGGACCACACTGGGTATAGAGATTACTTAAAAATAAAGTGTTTTTAAAAATTGTGAGTGTGTCATAAAAATCTGAATTACTGGGTCATGAAATACAGTAGAGGAGGCTAGAACAGAAGAAGCCTATAAAGTCATGTTTTTTTGGGGGGGTCGTAATGTAAAAGACATTTCTTACTGTGTCTTAAAGTTAAAAAAATATATTTATCAAGGAGAAGAGGTTTATCAGTAGAAGGAACATCCAAGTGCAAAGATTGCATGGCAGGAAAGCATTTGGAGTGTTACAGGACAGGGAGTCCATCTGGGAGGCTGGAGCACAGTGAGAATGCTTTGGGGGGAGGTTGGGAGGAGGGACAGGTGGGCAGGTCACACGGGGTCTTGTAGACCGTGGTGGAAGCCAGAGAAAGGCGTTGAGGGGGTTGTGAGAAGCTCTGGTTCAAATTTTAAGAAAGCTCTTCTGGTTGCTGGGTGCAGACTGGATTGGGGCGGGGGAGAGAAAGCAAGCAGGAAGACCAGTTAGGAGAGGAGTGTAATCACTCAGAGATGCATGGCTGACTTAGGTGAGGAGCTGGGATTGAAGCCCATCTGCTCTGAAGTGCCTGGTGGTGGTGACAACAAATGTGCACATAGCACTTTTTGGTATTCAAATTGCTCATATCCTTTAGCTCATTTTCTCTTGAAAATAGTTCGCCGCAGAGCAAGGGCTGATACCATCTCCAACCTCCAGGTGTGGGAAAGAGACCCAGAGATAATAAGTGACTTGAGCAGGTCTCTCCAGCTAGAGAATGCTAGAACTGCAAGTCCACGCCAGGTGTTTGCTTTTAGCTCTCTGACTGATGCTGGGCTCTGCTCTTTGTCTCAGAGGAGTTCCTCCATTGCTGCCTGACTGCAGGAGCCACTTCGCAAATTTTCAGAATGACCCTTTCCTCAGTTGCAGTGTCAGTGGCAAGCTCCAGCAGGGAGGATGTTTGAGGTGTGTGGGTGGTCAGGGGAAGTAGATGCATCCCTGGAGTAAGTGTGTTGGATTTGTACTACGAGGAAATTAAAGGTTGCAATGGGGCTTAACTGGCAGGAGCCCAGGTGGAAAGGATGTCAGCCCAGTGGTCTGAATAGCCACACCTGGGGATGGGGTGCAGCACTTTCCGAAACTGTGTCTCTAAATAAAGATCTCTGAGTCCTCATATGCCAACCTGTTCTGCTTGGAGGCTTAGAAAATGTCCTCAGGCCCTTCGTTTTGCTTTTGTTCAGCACTTACTCAGCAGACTAACTTCTGTGTATTAATATGTTGACCTTGAAGGAAGTTGCTCACAGGAGAGTTGAATGGGCTATTTGTGCTCTCCCAGAGTTTGCAATTTTCTGTTTACATGATTAGTTAATATCTCTTTTCTTCACTATGCTGTGAGCTCCATGAAAGAAGTTTCTTTTTGTTCATGATGATTGAATGAATGAATGATTTGCCGAGTCCTTTAGATAGAAAGATAGCAGTGCCATATTTGGTGTAGTGGCAGGTAAGGTCTGTCCCAAGTTTCTTCTGCAGGGATCTTGACAAGGGAATACCGGAAGACATGTTTCTTTGGGGGCTTTGCTTGTCTTTGTGAAGTATGTTATAGAATGGTTTCTGATCCTTTCATTTCTAAAGAAAGCAGAGTTGTGTTTCCTACTGGGAGGGTATTCATTTCTGTTAAAAAAATACTAGGGTGGCTCAGTTGGTTAAGCATCTGCCTTTGGCACAAGTCATGATCCTGGGGTTCTGGGATGGAGCGCCCCGCGTTGGAGCCCTGCTGAGCAGGGAACCTGCTTCTCCCTCTCACCTTCCCCATCCCCCTCTTGTGCTCTCTCTCTCTCTCTCTCTCAAATAAAATTGTTAAAACAAATGCTAATTTTTTTGTCATTAAATGTGCATTCAGTGTAATTATCTGTTTTGAAAGATTGAGGTGACACAGTGACACTGCAGAAAGGCTACGAGCTTTATTGTGATAGTTGAGGTACGCCGCAGCATAGCATCTTGCTATTACACACACACACACTCTCTCTCTCTCTCACACACACACTCATTTTCTCCTCTGGCAGCTACGTCCTACATCAGTGGTTTAATTGTACTCACGTGTGGGCCTTTTCAGGCATCCCCTCCCCCACATCTGCAAAGAGGGAGGACTGAGGCTAGGATGGAATAATGTAATTACTCTGCTGGGGTAAACTGAGTTTGTTCTTTGACAACAAAGAAGGTATGGGAAACTCATGTGGAAATGGCCTTTTCTGAGGTTCCCTGCCTTCTAACAGCTTGTTTGGTTCGTTCCTGATGATAGCCTTGCAGGTGTTTTTTTTCTCCTTCAAGATTTGTCTTCCATGGAACCCAAGTCTGCCCCAGGGGGTGGGAAGGCAGTACAGACTACTAGTTTAAAGATCACTGAGGTTCAGGGCATCTGGGTGGCAGTTAAGAATCCTCTTGGTTTTGGCCCATGTCCTGATCTCAGGGTTGTGCAAATGAGTCCCCAGTCAGGCGCTGCATGGAGTCTGCTTACAGTTTCTCTCTCACTCTCCCCCCACCACGCCCTCCCTCTCTTTCTCTTTCTTAAATACATAAGTACTTCTTTAAAAAAAGGCGATCAAGTGTCTTGAGGCAGATCCACAAGTACAGAAATCCTAACTCTGCTGGGTACCAGCTGCTTCAGGTTCCCTAACATTAGCAGGTTTCATTTTCCTCCTGTAAATTAGAGATAATGAGAATATCTTCTTTTTAGGAATGGAATGAGGATTAAAGAACTATAGTTAATGAGGAGCGAGTAACGTAATGTATGTATACCTGAGGGGATGGTGCCTGACACAAAGTTAAGTGCCTGGCTGACCATTGTCATTATTCTTATGTCTATTTCATGCTGTTTGCATTGTTTTTAAAAAACATCTCTGGGGATTTTTCTGGCCTGCTTGCTGAACGCTCTCCTTGGTTAGTGACCAATTTTTTTCTTAAATTCTGTCTTGTTTGTAGGCAGACAGCCAAGTAGACTTGGTCCGGCAGCATTTCTATGAAGTATCGCTGGAGTATGTCTTCAAGGTGCAGGAAGTCCAAGAGAGAAAGATGTTTGAGTTCGTGGAACCTGTAAGTAGATGCTCAGGCTTTCACGCTGTCCCCACACTTTGATCCCCAGCTCTCATTTCACTGCCTAGATTACAAAATGCTCTAGGTTGCTGATGAAGAGGTTGACCTGTCCTGGTGCTGTGCCTTCTGCTAAGTAGCAGTGCTCTGTCAGTCTGGCTGACCCTGGATCGTCCCCAGTGGCCATTGCTGTGCAACCTGAGCAGTAGTGATGGTGCATTCAGAGACAGTTGCATCCTCAAGCCCCCCTCTGTTCTGCCGGGGCAGGAGTTTTCATCTTGCCCAATAGTAGTGATTACACCTTAACTTTTCACCCTCCCACCCCTTTCCTTTCTCCCTCAAATAATCCAAATGTAGTAGTTGCCCAAGGGGAATGTACGTACTACCTTTGTCTTTTTGTCTGCTCAATTCAAAACCCCTCTGCACTCCTTCCATGCATTAAAAGGTGCTATATAAAGCGATTTCTCACTGTAGTTTGTTATAACTGGGCAGCCAGGAGATTGTGCTTAGTGAACCATAATGGGATTTGGACTTGGTCACTGTGTCCCAGTGGGTACAAAAGGTTGTTGTGTAGAAACAAATCTGGCTTTAGTTGAGGCCACCTTAGCCTGTTGGTGGCTCTGTGCAGTGGTGGCGCTGCCCTACCCCGCTGTGGCACTCCGAATGCACAAGACCAGGATGTCCGGGAAACTCCAAAAGAGCATGTGGACCTTGATTTAAAACTCTTGCAGACCTTGGATTCTTTGTTAAAAATGCTGGCTGTGATTGTGACCCCCGCCTGGGGTCTCTATAGAAACAAGATTCTTACCTACCTAGATTTAAGAAAGTGATTTTTTTAAGCAAATGAGAATAAAACTGAGAAACTGAAAGAAAATAACCACTCTTTTCAGTAATGAGTGTTCTGTGCTCCATTTCTAATTTATAAACTTCTGGGGTGCTTTTTAAGCATGTAGACTTGCTAATAGTTTTATCAGGATCCAGTGGGCTTTGGAATGTGATGCTTAGATTTTTTTACTATACCGAAACTGTGATCTTAGGATTCCACTCTGTGCCACCTCATCTTGCAAATTCCTCAAGGTCTTTAATTACCTCATTCTTCTTATCTGAAAATTAGAAACTTTAGAGCCAACTTCCTGTCTAGCAGTGGTCTCTGTCACAGTCTCCGGTCAAAATCCCCATGTTTTTACAGAGTCTTTGTGGTGGGAGAAGCCATCTGTCAGAGAAAGTGAGCTTGTTGATTTCCTTGCTTAGGGCACAGAGTTGTTAAAGCCAGCCATTCAATGAAAGGTGTATTGAAGACTGTTTCCTCTGGTGTGGGCAGGCATTCAAAAGCTGTCACAGATTGAGCCTTAGGCATGTTTAATTGATTTTACCAGAATTTGTAGAGGAAAACAACAGTGTGATTGTACTAATCTTTATGTGCAAATTGATATTATTCTACAATTGCCTGCTTTTCAGGACTTGGATTTTAATTGGCCCATCTTAATTCTTTGAGGTGATTTTTTTGTTGCTGTCTACTTTGACCTCCCAGTAGGTGTTCCTAGTGAGTCAGGTACTGTATCTGTTAGCTTTTGCTGGGTAACAACCACAAAATCTCATACAGCAGTAGACATTTATTTCTCCTAAATCTGGGGGTTTCAGTCAATCTGGTCTGGACTCAGCTGGATGACTGCTGATCTAGGCAGGCTTTCCTTCACCTCCTCTTCTTTTTTCTTTCTTCTCCTTTTTCTTTCTCTTTCTTCTTCTTCTTCTTTTTTTTAAGAAACCTTCAAAGAATAATCCTTCTATTTCCTGGCACTCACTTTTAGTATATCAGTGTCTTGAGTTTTTGAGAAGCAGTATAATCATTGGTAAGGGCTTCAGAGCCGACGGCCTAGATTTAAGTCTCAGCTCAGCCATTTCCTAGCTGTGTTTTCTTGGGGAAGTTACCTATTTCTCTGAGCTTTGGTTTCCTTATCTACAACATGAGTATAATAATACCACCTACCATATAAAGATGTTAGGAGGAATAATTTGGTTTATCCATGTATGATGCTTAGAATAGAGTGAACCTAATTAATACCCAGTTAGTATATAATTGCTAATTAGCACCCAGGCAATGATTACTTTTTATTATAAGATAGAGGAATGTGTAAGTTTCAGTCAGCCAGGGTCTACTTAGATGAGCAAATGAGTCAAGTGGCAATATTAACAGGGTCTACCTGTTTTAATATAAAAAGTCTTGGTAAATCTGAAAGCATTTACTTACTACCAGAAAAATTGCTGAAGATCCCGCTGCTGTTTCTGAGGAGTTCAAAGCCTCATTAGGGAAGCATGATGTATATAGTAGAGAGGTATCCAAGGAAGCAAGCAGCTCAGTGCTATTTGGGTCAGGAGGGATCATGTGGGGAAGTGCCAGAGGGGTTTCAAGACTGGAAAACTGTTGTGATTTGTGGATGTGTCCCAGGCCATGCAGTGAGGCACCTGGAAAGCTAATGATAAAAATTTCTGGTCCCCTGTTAGAATGAAAAGAAAGTGATAGGATCTTGCCCACAGTTAAATGAGTTGGTTGAGAGGCTGCACGTAGAATTCACATGTTCAACCTTCACTTTTCTGTAGAAGTTAATGTTGTTCAACCCACCACCTCATGGGCAGGTCAGTGCTTTGGGAGCTTTGGCTAGCAGGAGGGATTGATCCAGAACACTGTGCTGGTTAGACCCATGGTTGTCGAAGTCGAGAAATGCAGACTCTTGGCTCTACCCTAGAAAAATTATGGTTTGGGGCCCAGTCATCAATCTTTCAGTAAGCCCTCTAAGGTGATTCTGTGGCACTTTTAAATTTGAGCCCCTGGCTGAGATTGTGCAGAAGACCCTGAAATAACAGTTGATTAGGTGTAACTGTGTCATATGCTAATGGTCCCTTCACCTCCATAATGTCATCCAATCCTTACACTGTCTCTGAGGGTAGGTAATTGCTGTTTTATGTCTTTTTTCAGATGAGGAAATGGAAGCACATTTATTCTTTAAGGTGACATCTGGTACCTAGCAGAAGTGGAATGACTCTTAGTCTCTCTGAAACAGAATTTGATTGCTTACAGGTGGAAAGGAAACCAGCAAGAAATTTATTGAACTAAATTGCTGGGGCACCTTGTGTGGGTATTCATATTTTGAGGTGGTTGCAGTCAAGGGAATCTTCCAGCCATTCAAGAAACCTCCATGGATGTTGACTGTGTTCATTTGTTTCCTAGAAAGTAACTTCAAGTATCAGGATGTTACTGACCTTCAGAAAAAAGAAACAAAATTTTAGTGTTCCAAGCAAGAAAATTCAGACTTCTGGCCTTTATTTTCTTGTTGAGGTACTAAATGTTCTGGAGATTTTGGATTGCAGATAATGACATCCTGATTTCTTGAAGGTGAGGCCATGTTCTGTCTGTTCCCTGAGTTTTCATAATTGGAGGTTACAGAGTGCTACAGAGAACTCATTACCCACATTCATCAGACACTGCATTCTCTGAGTTGTACCTTGAGAACATTTTTTGGTGCTGTGCTTTCCTGTCCTTTTTCACTACTTCTGCCCCATCATAGGTCTTCATTTTCTCCTTTGATTTGTTGCATCCTATCTTGGGCTCCCCCCTCCTCAGGCTGGGCTGGACACCGCCACCACAGTGCATCTTCTAACACATCCGTCTAAGTATATCTGTCTTGCTGAACAGCTCCTGTCGGCACTGTTGTGCTAAGGCTGTTACATAGGTGATCTCTGTCTTCACCACCACCCAGTGCAATAGTATGTAGCATTAGTGTCCTCCTGGAAAAGAAGAGTTATAGGGCATTACGTGGCTTGCCCAGCGCAGCTTTTCATCACTCTGCTGTCTGCCCTTCTCTTTGTCATGCAAATGAGTGATTCTTGGTGGTTATATTTGTTTGTGAAGGCTGCCATAACCAAGTACCACCAACTGGGTTCTCAGCATAAAAACTTCCTGCCTCTCATAGTTCTAGAGGCTAGAAGTCCAAGATCAAGGTGTCAGCAGGGCCATGCTCTCTCTAAAACCTGTAGGGAAGATGTCTTTTCTTCCTTGTAGCTTCTGGTGGTTGGCTGGCAGTATTTGGCATTCCTTGCTTTATAGGTGCATCACTGCTATCCCTTGTCCTCATGTGGTTATCATCCCTCTGCTTCTCTGTCCAAATAGCCCCTTTTTATGAGGACACTGGTCATTTTAGACCAAGGACCTGCTGGCCTGATTTTAACTTGAGTACCTCCGTAAAGACTATTTCCAAATAAAGTCACATTCTGAGTTACTGGGGTTAGGACTTCAACATAATTTTTTGGTCAGGTTTGGGGGAACACTATTCAGCCTATAACAGTAGCTTTATTCTATGAGTGGAGGCAACCTAAATTTATCAGATAGTCCAGAATGGTACAATTGTCACTAAATGAAGCACTTACATTTTTGCTTACTTAAAAAATATATATGCTATGTTGTCTGGTAGGAAATAGGAATAGATTTTTTTTTAAGTTATTTTCTGAAGAAAATAAGGATGGGGGTCCTTGAAGGCCATAGGAGGTGGGGAAGGTCTTTCTTTGGTATTGCCTTTGTTGCGCTATGATTGTGTGTCACTGGCTGTTCAGGGAGGAGCCTCTATGGATGTGCTGACTTATCTGCCAACCAAGGTTGAGGCTACAATAAGCTTTTTCTCTTTGTGTTTGAGTACAAGCATTTCTTTGAGGCAGACAGATGATCCCATCTCTGGGGTCTTTTGAGGACCTCGCCCAGCCCTCTGGGGAGTGAACTTTCATTTCCCACTGGGTAATGGATTTAAAGGTTCATGCAGTGTGTGGGAAGGGGATGTCAGGGGGTGTGCCAGGGGAAGAGAGATGTGGGCAGGGGAGAAGGGAAGGGGGCCAAGGATAACAATATCTATGGAATCATTTCCCATAGGGAAGTGGACAATCAAGAATGATATCAAAGGAAGTGAAAACCAAAATAAATACTAGTCACTCTCTGCCTTGGAACACTTGTGTGCATGCCCAGGTGGTGTCTTAGTGAGCTGTTGGAGGATATATTTAATTACCTTGGGCAAGAGAGGCCCTGTTGACTTTAAGTGGAAGATAAATCAGAGTTAACAGAGAAATGCCTTTGGAATTAGCTGCTTATCTTCTGCATTATTCTCCAGGAGGGAATGATTCAGTGCCTTGGAAAAGTGATGGGCACAGCATTCGAAAACGGGGGGAGGGGGGGGAGGAAAAGATAAACAACAGTTTTCATTGTGAACACTGACACTATGTTTGGCATAAGGGCCTCTTCTTCTCTATTCCTGGAACCATCTAGGTGGAAAAGCCTGAGTGTTCCTTTCAAAAAAGTATTTTATATGGTGGAAGTTCAAAAGCTTCCATCATCTTTCAAGAAAAGAATTATTAGTCTTTGGTGACGCTACGTGGTTTACCACTCGTTCATTGATTTATATTAGTGATTTGTATGTGGCGTCACAAGATATTTTTTGAGCCAGAGAACCCAGCAAGGCCTGCTTTCTGACCTCCCATGAGAATCTAAGGGAATAGTTGCTCTGGGGACAATAGCGGTGGGAAGTTGGGATATCATATTATTAAAAGCTGGGTTTTGCCTGACTTCACAATACAGAGCTCTTTGATCGGCTGGGCTGGGCAGTGGCTCAGTCTAAAGACCATTCTTTGCTCTGAGCTCAGGTAGAGTAGCACATACCTTACCATGTAGCACATACCATATAATGCTTACCATTCATTCCTGCCACAAGCCAGGTGGGAGATGAATGGGGATGGGCTGTTTCCTTTGCCATCATTGTTAGGACTGCCTCTCAGAAGAGGGTTCTCTCAGGAGAGTTAGGTGAAAAAACAAAGTGAGAATATGTTTAATTACTAGAGGTATGTTTGTTTTAGGGACTGGAAAATTAAATAACAATATAAAACAGAGCAACTGTATCTTGATGTAACATGTGTTAGAGGCAGGTCAGGGAGGTCAGAGTGGACTACTCAGAAAATGTGAGTTGGCATTGAAAAGTTTGAGTTAGAACAGGGATGGGTACGACAGAGATTGTGACAAGGTAAAGCTCTGGTTCTTCTAAAACCTTGTTAAGGTTTGTATTACAATCCTTTCTCCAGATTGAGATTTGGAACTGAGGCAAGATGCATAGAACTTGGGAAGGGGCCAGGGAAACCTAATAACAATAGCTTTGTGTGTAGGTTCTGGGAGGAAATAAGGTAGGAGCATTGGTTGAGCCTGGAGAAGTGAAGATTGGCAGGACTCAGGGTGGGAACATTCATAGTTTTCACTGTATGAAGGTGTGTTGTGAGAATCAGGCTGAACAGATGTTTTCATTCTTGGACTTAATACCTTTTAGCTCGAGGGGATTTAAATGAGAATTTAGGGGAACCATCATAACTGAAGATGTGGGAACATGGGACTATTTTAATAACGGCATCCCTGGTGTTTACCTGTGGGTAGTTTAGGGAAAGCACAGAAGCACATTTGAGCTGAAGTCTGGTCTGGGTGATTTTCTTTGATTTGACTTTGTCTGTGACACTGTGGACTCAGGACATACCATCTTCCTCTTCTCCCCTCTCTGTTGGCCATCAATATAACTACACTTTTCCGCATGGTAACCTGATACTACAGATGTATTTGATGGAGACTGAGTTGGACTTGAAGGAGACTGGTCTTCAATTTCTGAAGAAATGATTTTCTTTGAAGGTACTGAGGCTCAGAGTAAGAGCTTGGATGTTGATGCCAAGGAGACCTGGTTTCGAATCCTGGTTGCTACTTACTTTGTCTTTTGGAGCAAGTTACTTAACCTTTCTGAACTTGCTTTCTCAATATTGAAATGGAGACAACAGTAGTACTTACCTGCTAGGCTGTTATGAGCATTTAGTGAGAGCAGACATACGATGTTACAGTGCCTGGCATACAAGTAAGCTCAGTAGATGATAAGCATTTTTATTACTGTATTCTAGCCTTTCAAATCAAGATTGGGAACTCAGGTAAAGCTGCATAATACCTATTTAACATGCTTATGTGAACTCTGCCCTTCTTCTTTCATTACAGCTACTGGCATTCTTGCAAGGACTCTTCACTTTCTATCACCATGGTTATGAACTGGCCAAGGATTTCAGTGACTTCAAGACTGAGTTGACCATTAGCATACAGAACGTGAGTGAGCAAAGGGATAGGCTTCTTCTTCCTGGTTGAGAAAAGGAAAGAACACATAGTATGGGTCTGATTGCATAGAGATCACTTATTTGGATTGGAATGCAGATGAGGAAGATGGGTCTTGCTTGGGTTCAAAGGGCAGCTGGGGGCAGGCATTTGTAGGGTGCTTGGTGGCCCCAGGTTAGAGCATCAACCTCTTTTCCATTATTTCTAAGCACTATTTATGTTCTCGGAAGTCCTGCTGATATTTTTGTTTTAAATCTGTAGCACCAGAGTCAGGATTTCCTTTGGCAGTGGAAGGCCCAGCCTCCCTTCTGTGCATCTAGCTGCCTGGCCACAAGAGACCTTGGAGGGTGTTCAAGGGTTGGGGGTGGGGCATACATGCTGGCCTCCAGCTCAAAGGATGTGATCTTGTTTAACTTTTAGTAAGGCTCACAGGAAATCCAAGTCAGAGCCATTTATTCTCAGTCTCCTTCCCCACATTTTAACCAGCAGGACCTTTTGGTGCTCTGAATTGTGCTAAGGGCCGTTTGGTTAGCAGTTACTGGTCTCAAGCCCGTGCGTCACTATGTGGCTGGCTATATTAGTCTGCATGTTGTCTTTGTCTCTAGATGATGCTGTGTAGAAAAGAAACCCAAGTGTGTCCTTGTGAGTTTTATTGCATGGGTTTAGAAGCCTGGAGTTTACCCTGCCACAGTTCTCTGTGTTGTTTTGGAAAACAGACAAGGTTTCCCAAAGCATGGCTTCCCCTTAGGCCAGCTTCCTCAGAAGGTAGACTCAGAAGTGGAGGTTTATGTGTAGCAGGTTTACAGGGGAGTAGGGTCAGCAAAATCACCTGTGAGAGAGAGGGCAGCAGACCCCTGCCGGAGAAGTTGAGCTGTGAGGCTTCAGTCAATGCCCTGGGGTGTCCTGGAGCTGATACCGACCTTCACAGTGGCCTCAATAGAAGCAAGGGTGCCAGGCTTTGGGCCCCTTCCCTTTTTGCCCCTAGCCTTGACTAGTCATGGGGTGCAGGTTGCGCTGGGGAAAGGAGTTACCTTGAGTGAACCAGCTCCCTTTTGAGGAAGGAACCATCTATGAACCATCAGCAAGTGGTATTCCTGCAGTTGGAGAAATAAGTCCCTCTGTCTTGAAGGGAGCTTGGGGACCGTTCTGTGAACTATCTGAATCAGGATCCCTTGGGATGCTTGTTTAAAATGCACATTTCTGGGTCCAGAGGTACTAAATCTTTAGGGGTGATGCCTGGACCTTTGTATTTTCTCCACATTCTCCAGGTCATTTTGATGGTCTTGAGAGTTTTGAGAGTCATTCTGGTATAGGATTTTATGGTCAAAAGGTACTTCTTGAAAGTGAGTATTTGCCTAATTCCTAGGTGGCTCAATGTTCCTTACCTGGTTTTAGATCTAAGGATTCCATAGGTTGATGTTGTGAATTGTTAGAGATGGGAACAAGGTTTCATTTCTTTGATTTAAATGCTTTTCATCCTAGACAAGAAATCGCTTTGAAGGCACCAGGTCAGAAGTGGAATCACTGATGAAAAAGATGAAGGAGAATCCCCTCGAGCATAAGACCATCAGTCCCTACACCATGGAAGGGTACCTGTACGTTCAGGAGAAACGTGAGTGCTGGTGGTGAACAATGGCTTGGGATACACTTATGCCTTTTGCCCAGGAGGTGGAGAGTGTATCTAGTAGTGCCTAACCTAGAGCACAGCTTCTGTAAATATAGATTTGGGTGAATAAGAGTAGTTGATAGTTGAGTTTTTTAAGGGAAAGATATCCAAAAGGTCTTGTCTACCTCCCCATGATGTGTTCTGTTTTCTTTGTAACTGGAAATTCCCTCGGGAACCTGGAATTCATTGAGGCTCTGTGGTGGTTTTTTTCTCCTTAAAAATCACACTTCACATGCCTGAACCCTCAGCATGGCTTTAGCTATCACACACTTGGCATAGAGGCTCTGAAAGGGCCTTGCATGCTAGACCTTACTGTCTATCGGTAGTCATATCCTTGGGTGGACTTAATATGGAATGACTTTGTTCCATTCAAGACTTGGTTCGGCAAGGACCAAATAGTCATGACTTAGGCATATTCCCTCATTTCTTCAGTTGCTGTCATTTCAACCCTTAAATTTTGTGAGTAGAAACACAAACTCACTCCAAGAGGTAGGGAGAGAAATCCATTGTCCTGCCAATGTGATGTCAAGGAAAGAAACACCGGGGTGCTGCTAATCCAGACTTCTTTGTGATGACTCATAGGCTACTGTGATAGGTCTGGGGAAAGGCTTTTTGATGGGGCTGTGCTTTGAGGGTAGCACTTCCAGACTTAGCTTTTGGAATGCTAGGGATAGAAGAAGATCATTTTTTTTTTTCTTTAATGGATAGTTCTCCTAGTCTTCCATCCCTCCTTTTTCGGTTGGACATGTTAATCCTCCCAGATTTTTGCTGGTTTTGTGCTCTTTACTGTCCTTCTGTTGATTCAGGGTGAGGCAAATGTCTTCACTCCTAGAAGCTTACTAATGGAACAGAACACTTGATTTCAGTGATTATTCTAGTGATAGAATAGTGATTACTCAAAAATTTGCTTGGCCCTAAAATTGTTGCCTGGTGACAATGGGGGCAGTAGTGGGGTTTGAATTTGGAGGCATTGGTTATCTTGAGGGTTTTTATGCCCTTTATTCTTACAGGGATGAGCTTTTTGAGGTTTATAAGAAGTGGAAGGTACTATAGTACTGTGTTTTGTGTAGACCTCAATATAAGGTGTTATGTTTTTTGCCCAATGAGAAGATCCACCCCAAAAAGTTTAAGGCCAGTTTGAATATAGTTCAGTGTCCACTCACAATACTTAATTTATTAATATTATTCACTTACATATATGTAATCTGCACTCACATTAATAAACCAATTTTATTCAAACACTTCACATGCTTTTTAAAACATGAATGTCTTGATAATCATGAGAACCAGATTTTAACTCTCAAACACATGAGTCTAGAGCATATCAGTGGGATACAGCTCTTTTCATTTGAAAGTTTTGGTGACTTATTACTTAGAAATAATTTGAAATGTGAAGAAAAATTGCAAGAAGAGTATAATGAACAATCATATGCCCTTTATCTAGATGCATGAGTTTTTACCATTGTTCCACAATTATAGAGTTCTTTCTCTTTCTGGGTGTGTGTGTGTACACACATCATAGTCATAGAGACACGCACACATTGCCATTTTTTCTGAATCCTTTTGGAACTGATTCCATACCCCATGCTTCTTTACTTTAGTGTGTATTTTCTAAAACTAAGGATATTCTTTTTATGTAACCACAGTATAGTTACCATATCCAGCAAATTTAACATTGATAAGATATTTAATGTAAATGACAGGTCCTATTCCAATTTTGTCAGTTGTCCCAGTAATGCCCTTATAAAACATTTTCTTTTCCTTCTGTCTAGATAGGTTTTCATACTGCGTTTGTCATGACTTACTCTGTAATAATTCCTCAGCTTTTCTTTGTCCTTCATGACACTAACATTTTTGAAGAGTGTAAGCCAGTTCTTTTCTAGAATTTTCTTCAGTGTGAGTTTGTCTAATGTTTCCCGGTGATTAGATTCAGGTTAGGCATCCCTTGTCAAATCCTACATAAGTAGTAACATTTGTGTTCTTATCTGGGTACCACATCTAGCGGCACAGGATGGCCATCTGCCCCTCAGTGGTGATGTTAATTTTGGTCACTCACTCAAAGTATCATTTAGTTTATCCACTGTACAGTCACTATTCTTCCCTTGTAGCTCATTAGCAGTGTATGGGGGGACCCCTTAAGACCATATCTTTGTCATCAAGCTTTGCTAGAGTTAGCATCCACTGGCAGTTCTTGCCTAAACGGATGGTTACTGTGATGGTTGTAAAATGGTGATTTCTCAGCTCTGTCAGTCTTCCACATTTATTAGTTAATGTACTGCAAGGAAGTGACTGCCCTCCCCTCCTCATTCTCTTCTCTCGTTTCTTATCCATCCATCCATCCATCCATCCATCCATCTTCTTATTGTCAGGATGGACTTAAGGATTTCTGTTCTATTCAGTAGGCTAAATCCAAGTCCAGTACTGTTCTTATTTGTTTGGATGCTCAAATGATTTAAGATACAGAACTTTAGGAATCTTTGTGTTGTGCTATCCTTGGAATTTTTTCTCTGAGTCACAAAAATAAATTAGAATGGTTGGTATTTTTGTCTTTGATGCTTCAATGTAGACACTTACTGTGTTGCTTTTTACTTTTTTCATTTCCTAAGTGATATTCCACATTTGCTATGGGCACTGATACCCTGAAAAATAACTACTAAATCTTTGTTAAATCTCATGTTACTACTTAAAAACACACACACACACACACACAAAACAACAAAAAAACCATTTCTGCTCTGTGATCTCTTTAAGCATCTAAGGCTAGTGTTGATTGAGGACCTTGGAGGCTAATAATGCTGATTATGCCTTCTTCCTCTAATAATATTTTGTTACTCAAGATAAAGTAGTTGGCCAAACACCAGATAAAATCAGGATTTGACTGAAGGGCATCTCCCTCTTTCCTGAGGGATAATATTGAGGGACAGACTCCTTAGATTACATTTGGGTATTTATAGTTACTTCCATTTACATCTTTGTGTCAGAGTTTGCCTGATCTGCTTTTCAGGTCATCTTGAGTTCTGGTAAAGTACAGATTAGGGGTTTGGCAGTAGGTCAGAACCTCTGTATGTCTTTGCAGAGAGTTGCAGAGCAGCTGTGTGGGAAGCATGAAGTCATCACACCAGATGGGAACAGTGACAGGCACTTTGAGGAGCTTTTCTGTGTTCTTTCCTCAGTCATCTTACTTATGTCAGGGGAGAAGGGAACTTGAAGTGGAGATTGATGATGGGAAAGAGAATTAATTTCCCCAGGGAATCTTTACTTCCCTTATATTTTAAGACCCATTGGATGCAGCATTTAGTGGGAAACAGTCTTCCTTGGTCCCTGGGGAAAGCCCTGGGTCAATTCCATTTCCAGCCTGTGGGATCAGATTTCTGCCTGTTCCAGTCTAGCTGGTGGAGATTACATTGCCCCTAGAAACAGTTTAAGGGTAGGTGAGCACTGTGGGTTGTGGGTTGTGTGTGTTTCCAGCATGTGTTCAACACAGAGATGTTTCATGGGAAATACTACCTTGCAGGTCACTTTGGAACTTCTTGGGTGAAGCACTACTGTACATATCAACGGGATTCCAAACAAATCACCATGGTACCATTTGACCAAAAGTCAGGAGGAAAGGGGGTGAGTTCATTTTTTAAATTCCATGCTTGATTTGCTTGGCTAACATAGGATGGTTATAATGCATATGTATAGCAACACCTTCAATGTGTCACTGTCATTTTTTTTGTTTTTTAAGGGTTTTTTTTTTTTTTTTACTGAAGTATAATTAGCATATAGTATTAAATTTGGCTTCAGGTATACAGTATAATGACTCAACAATTGTATACATTACTCAGTGCTCATCACAGTAAGTGGACTTTTAAACTCCTTAATCTATTCCACTCACCCCCCCACTCACCTCCCCTCTGGCAACCATCAGTTTGTTCTCTATATTTAAGAGTCTGTTTTTTTTTGTCTATCTGGTTTTTCTTTTTCTTTGTTCATTTGTTTCTTAAATTGCACATTTAAATGAAATCATGTGGTATTTGTCTTACTCTGTCTGACCTATTTTACTTATCATTATACCCTCTAGGTCCATCCATGTTGTTGTAAGTGGGAATACCTTGTTTTTTTCATGGCTGAGTAATACTCCTTTATATATATATCCCAGTTTCATTCTTTTGCATTAGGCTGACCAGTTTTTCCAGCTCCATTTGTTGAAGAAGACTGTGTTTTCCCCATTGTATATTCTTGCCTCCTTTGTTGTAGATTAATAGATCGTATAGGTGTGGGTTTATCCGTGGATTCTCTATCCTGTTCCATGGAGCTGTAAGTCTGCTTTTGTGCCAGAACCATACTGTTTTGATCACTGCAGCTTTGTAGTGTATCTGGAAATCTGGGACTGTGGTATCTCCAACTTTGTTCTTCTTTTGCAAGATTGCTTTGCTGTAGTTTTCCTTACTTTTACACAATAGTTCTAGGAGGAAGAGTACCGTAGACAGTAACTATAGCAAGGCGAGTATTCTTAGCTTTAAGTTCTATTAGGAACTGCAACTAAGAAAGATTCTTGTATTTCACATATATACAATATTAAGTGTGTCAAATGTGTTTAGATGCTAGAAATTCCTGGATGGCCTTGTCCTGTGAAACTGATGGATATCACTCTTACTTGATACAAAGAGGGCTGCAAGCTAATGGTTTGGGTGTCCTGATTATCTGTTGCTGTGTAATAGATCACCCAAAAACTTAGCAACTTTTTTTTTCCTTAAGATTTTATTTATTTATTTATGTGAGAGAGAGAGAGAGCAGGAGCAGGGGGAGAGGGAGAGAGGCAGAGGGAGAGGCAGAGGGAGAGGGACAAGCAGACTTCCCACTGAGTAGGGAGCCTGACACAGGGCTTGATCCCAGGACAGCGAGATCATGACCTGAGCTAAAGTCAGATATTTAACCGACTGAGCCACCCAGGTGCCCAAACTTGCCAACTTTTAAAACAACACCAGTCATTTTAGTATTTCTCACAGTTTCTGTGGGTCAGGAATTGGGTGAGCATTTGGATGGGTGCTTTGGGCTCAGGATTTCTCAGGGGGTTCCAATCAGATGGTAGCAGGAGATGGAACAGTGAGGGTTTGAAGCAGCTGAAGGCTGGTCAGCCATGACTCTCTTTGTTTCTCCTGATCTTCCTCCCCTTCCCTCTTTCCCACCTGCTCTGTATAGTCTCAGGGCCTGTCCATCTGGTTTCTCAATGGGAGATAGTTTGGATTTTCTCACAGCATGGTGGCCTCAGGGCAGCTAAAGATGTCAAGAGTGAATATTCCAGCAGTGAAAGCAGAGACTGCATGTAGCCTTAGAAGTCATACAGCTCTGTTGGTTGAAGCAGTCCTAAAAGCCCCCCAAGCCCACCCAGTTTCATGGGGGAGAGGATGCAGACCAGCCTCTTGAAGGGAGGAATATTACAGTTACATGAAGAATGTGTAGGATAGAAATACTCTTGCAGCTGGCTCTGATCATAGGCCCTGCAGGTCACTGCTGTAGAGCTCCCCACTGTGCTCTAGCCTGTCTCCCTTCCTCTGGGCTTGCTAGCTGCAGCCTGAGTGCATTTCCTCTTCTGGTGGTGTGTCTTTTCTCTCTGGCTCTTCTTAATATCTTCTTTTTTTCCTTTTGGCATTCTACATTTCATTATGATGGTCTTATGTATGATTTTTTTTTTCATTCTGTTGTGCTTGGGAATTTGGGGTCTTTCTGTATTTGGCAATGGGTGTCTTTCAGTAACTTTGGGAAATTCTTACCATTTATCACTTTGAATTTTGCCTCTTCCCCGTATCTCCTTCTGGACATAACTTCTTTGGAAGATAGCTAAATATTTTTAACAGAAGCATTTATATTTTTCATCTGTTTGTATCTCTGGATTCCATACTACATAATTTCTTTGATTCTATGTTTAAATAATTTTTAAGCTGTATCTAGTATGTTGATGAATTAGTCCCCAGTAAGCATTCCATCTCTGGTACTCTCCATGGTGCACTGTGGTGCAGTGTGTGTGTGTGTGTGTGTGTGTGTGTGTGTGTGTGTGTGTTTATGGGAGCATTACAGAGGCTAAGAGCATCAGCTTTGAAATTAGACTGCCCGGCTCAGTAATGTTAGATGCATCTGTCATTACTGTTGCACTGTGGTGCAGTGTGTGTGTGTGTGTGTGTGTTTATGGGGGCATTACAGAGGCTAAGAGCATCAGCTTTGAAATTAGACTGCCCGGCTTAGTAATGTTAGATGCATCTGTCATTACTGTTGGCTACTCTATCAGGCTGCCCCTTTGCTCTGTACCACTTCAGTTTTTCTTGCTGGCTTGCTTTTACTTAGTCCACAATACAGGAATTTATCAGCATCTCTTTTCCTTCTATGTATTACAAAAGAATACACCAAAGCTCTTTTAATGTTTCAGGAGTGGAATAATGTCAGGAAAACAACATTGTTTAAATATAGAAACATAAAGAAATTTATGGAGTCGGAAGAGATATTAAACATTAATCACTAGCTGTTCCCTAGTTTTTATACAAAGGCAATAGTTAGACTTGCTCCCTTGGGTTGAGCCATAGTCCTTTTCCAGTCCTGTCTTTCTAGAAATGAGCATCACTAAATTATTCTCTCACACAGTCTTTATTTTGGGGCCTTTGACCTTGTGCTTTCCTAAACCTTAAAAGAAGAACTCTTGTGTTTGGTCTTATCCCACTGGAAAGTGAATGACAGAGACCAGTTATGGTGGATGTTTGGGACTCCCATGTCTTCAGTGAGTTAATAGTAAACACATCACTGCGTTGTTAAGAAGTTTATATGAATTAGTATATATACTCTTGGAAGAGAGCTTCACACACAATGAGTTCTGTATTAGGAGCTTGATAGTACAATAATTAATTTTCCTAATAATTCCTTAAATTTATTTTATATTTTTCTAAGTCAATGTATTGTCTACATTATCCAGTTTGATCCAGTTTTCTCCTTCATAAAGGAAGAAATCGAGGTCTAGAGAGAGAAAATGATTTATAAAGCCATATAACTGATGAGTTACAGAGTCAGTACTCAGAGCCTGATTCTGGAGTCTGCATCTCTTAAATTGGAGGTTGCTGCTGCTAGTAATAGTAACAAGAATAGAAAAATATATAAAATAGTGGCTCTCCCTGACATCACTGTTTCCTCAGCTTTCTGGAGGAGATGTCATCTCAGTTTGTGCAGGAGAATCATGTGACATCTTTCTATATGATATATGTGTTTGTAGAGAGCTCTCCTAGGAGGTGGAGGTAGACTTAACATAGGTAATAGGGTGCATTTTTTTTTCTCTCTAACATGCTTTTTCACTTCCCTTTCCTTCACTTTGCTGTCCATTTCATTTGATTATTTTCCTGTAAAAGTACCTGCTTTTCTCTTAGCTTCCGGCAAGGATATGTGAGCAGATTTGTTCCATCATCTTGGAGAGTAGACCCTGTGTGTGGTGAAAGAGAATTCCCCTGTATCCTAACCTCTGAGATGAGGCAGCTCTCTCTGTGTGAGGTCTGGAGCAGTCCAAAGGTGACCTTGTCCCTTCCCTTGCTTGAAACCCTTCATTATTTTTCCTGTGCTTTCAGGCTATGGACCACAGTGTGCATGATCTGGCTCTTGATTCCCTCAGACTCTTTCATGCCAATTTGCCTTTCACTCTGGGGTTGAACCATATTGGCTGGCTTTCAATTCCTCCCAGGCTCCGTGGACCCTGACCACAGGACCTTTCCACCTGCTGTTCTCCAGCCCCTAAAAAACACAGTAGATGTAAGGCTTGTGAATATAAACCATCTCTTGCTAGGTCTTCTGTATTTTGTGTGGTATTGTGATACTAGGGGGTGGTTGAGTTTTACCATAAGCAGTCACATTTCCTATTTCAACAAATTAGGCATGTTTGCTAGTTTTCCCCCTTGTTTAGAGAAGAAGATTGGCAAAGGCAGGAGAAACATAAACCCTAGATTCTTATATGGGAAAAAGAGAAGAAATCAGGAAGAGAAACCCCTATGTTTTTAGGCAATAAAAGAGCACCATGTGATGAGATTGTTGGATTACCTTTGTACAATGGGATACTACTCAGCAGTAAAAAGAAACAGACTCTTGATTTGCACAACATAGGTGAATTGCAAAAGAATTGTGCCAAGTCAAAGAAGTCAGAAATGAAAGAGCACATACTGTGTGATTTCATTTATGTGAAATTATAGAATATGCACATTAATCTGTATGACAGGAAAGCAGGTCCAGGATTTGCCTGAGGCTGGACTGGGTGAAGGGACAGAACTCAAATGACAAGGAATCTTCTGCAGGTGATGGAAATGTTCATTAGCTTGATGGCGGTGTTGATTTTATGGAGAGGTACAGAAGTTAAAGCTCATAAATTGACGTGTACCGTTTATTATACATCAGCTACACTGTCATAAAGCTGTTAAAAACCTATTTATTGAGCATCTCCTCTGTTCTGGGGCCTCTTTGGGCTCTGGGAACACAGGAATCAGCAAGAACAGACACAGTCCCTGCCCTCAGGGAGCTTAGAGTAGAATGAGGAGGGAGCCATGATGGAAATCATCGCCCTCATCAATGGACAATTCCAGCTACGATGGTGCTATGTGAACATGTCTTGGGGATATTTGACCTGGTCCAGGAAGGCCTTCCTGAAAAAGTGAAGGCAGTGAAATGTAGAAACTCATCTGGTTTAACCCTTATCAGCCCTGCAAATTAGGGGCACCTGGGTGGCTCAGTCAGTTGTGTCCAACTCTTGGTTTTGGCTCAGGTCATGATCTCAGGGTCATGAGATCAAGCCCCCCCGTCGGGCACTGTGCTCAGTGAGGAGTCTGCTTGTGCCTCTCCCTCCCCCTTTGCCAGTCTGCTTTCGTGTGCATGCTCTCTCAAATAAATTAATTAAAAACAAACCCAGCAAATTAAACCTGTTTCAGACATTATCAACAAGAGTTTATGTAGCATGGGTTGATGCTGTACCATCATGATGTGCTAGAACTTAATTAAAACTAGAGATGTTTGGCTTGAAGTATAATTTGGTTTATAGGTTTTTAGCTGCGTGAGGCTCGTGGCTGAGGGAAGGTTTTTGATCAACATTCCATCTTCCTGTGGGTCATGAACACTCAGGCTTGAGAAGATGGAATAATCACTTCTGTTGATGTGGCACATTTGTGGTTTGCTGGAGAGGCACATAGCATAGCCCATGTTCAGGCCTCATCTTGATAGTGTTTGTGCTCTCAACAGGGAGAAGATGAATCCGTCACCCTGAAATCCTGCACCCGGCGGAAAACAGACTCTATCGAGAAGAGGTTTTGCTTTGACGTAGAAGCAGTAGACAGGTGAGTAGCTGTTACACTTTGCTCAGGAACAGATATTACTAAATTTGGATTTTTTACCTTTTCCATTCAGTCAGGGCTTTTCTGTCCTTGATCTCACCCTACCCCTCCTTTTCCAAATACTCAGTTTGGAATAGACCTCAGGCCAGTTGCTGGTCTGCAAGGATCAGCATAGCTTCTCCCCTCTTGTAGGTTCAGTGATGAGCCTCTGGTTTGGTTTGCTTTAACATTAGGGCTTTCCTGAGAAGTAATGTGTATTATCTTAGGAGGTTGAGTAGATGTTTAAAGAAAACTGCTTAGCGTGATTATATGAACTGTTTGAGATTTTTTACTTTAAAAATATTTAATTTTTTAAATTTAAAAAGTGGTCCAAAAGGAATGGGGTAAAGTGAAGGACGGAACAAGTTGTACTCATTTAAAAAAAGATAGCTTTTAGTTGTAGCATTTCACCTACCACTGTGTGTATGCACCAGGAAAGACAGCAAACCACTTGTAAAATCACTTTTTGCAGAGGGAGCTGCATGTTGTAGTCCTCAATATTTATGGAGTCTCATTAAGTTGTACCATTTCATGGTGTTAAGCTAGTTTGACAACATTCCAATTTTTTGAAACACTGTACTTGGCAACAGGTTAATTCCTTGAGTGAAAGCCACGTGTTAAGTCTATTTGTGCTGTCTGTTCAAGATCAGCAGTGCCAGCATTAAAGATCCTTAAATCTCAGCATGATTCTCCTGTAATGCCATTTCTCCCTTTATTCCAACACACACACACACACACACACACACACACACACACACACACACACACAC